TTTTGTTATTTCAGATAGCTGTTTTTTTTTTTTTTTTTTTGTTTCTAAAAACGATTTTATCAAATATTATGTGTAGAATTAAAATATATGTTATTGCAAATTAAATAATCCCACAAAATTCTCGACGTGTCAAAATTTCAAACAGTGATTCTTACTTTTTTCAACAGTAAATCGTTCTGATATATATTTTGGAGGAAGTCCTAAATGCGTGTCAGACAAGATAAGTGTTTTATCTTTTTAAAAGTAGATGATACCCTTCTTTGCTAAAATATACTATTCACTTTTTCATACATAGAGAGATCGATGAAGTTTGCCTAAGTTTTCATTTATACCACCGTTGATTACTTGTCGTTTCTACATTTTTTTCTTTTTTGTTCTTATATGACAACCCCAAATTGTGTAAAAGAAGTGTGAGTGAGAAAAGAGTAAATCTTTTTCGTCTTTTATTTTTTGTCACGAAATACAATTATTCTAAGGTTAGAAGGTTTGACGGTCCAAAAAATTTAGAGCGGAATGTTAAGTAACAAAAGTTGTCATTCACACAATTGGGTTCAATACATTGTTAGTAAAAAAGATCGGAGGTTTTTTTCTCCTTTGTATTCACATTGTATTAAACAGAATTTTGATATTTACATTTGGCTGTCTCTTTCATTAGAAAAAGAATACGTTTGTCTACAATAGTACAAACTTTTTTAGTCCCAAAAACAAAACAAAAACGGTTTATAATTAAATTCAATCTACGACACAGAACCAGCCCATGTCATCAAAATCAAGAAGAAACGGCTGATTAAGCGCAATTAATCAGTCGATTAATCGTGTGCTTAATCGCGACTTTTAAGCAGAATTTTTTGCTAATTAATCACGATTTTAAGAAAAAATCGTCGGTAAATCTCGGTTAAGCGCGATTATTGCTAAAATCGCAAGTAGTCATCAATTTTTCCAAAAAATGCATGATATCAACAGTAATCGCGCTTAATCGAGGCTTATCGCCGATTTTTTCTTAAAATCGTGGTTAATTAGCAAAAAATTCTACTTAAACATCGCTCTTAATCTTACTCCACTTAGAACCATAGAATACACGCACGATTCCATTACAGCAGCACGTCAATTCACAGAACTTACCGTACAAATGATGGCTCTGCATCTTTCATTTTTTCCAGTAATTCAGCCAAAGAAGTCTAAGTAAAAACAAAACAATCTGTTTGACTGTGTGGACTTTATGTTTTTTTATTTGCCTCACCTTGAAATGTAGAGTGACAGTATTCTGGCTAAATCTTTCTTTTTGAATAGCATTTGTTTTAGATGATTTTCTATATGAAATAAAATATCCATAGTGAACGATCATACTAACGAACACACTTACAGTCCTTCCCTCAATGACTTTGCTGTTCTTTGACTAAAACTTTTTTTAACACGTTCACTCTCGAAGGATTTTGGTCGTCGTATGGGATGCATTGATAACGACTTGGTTCTAGTAGTGGATGATGAACTTCTATACGAAAAAGCAACAAAAACAATGAGAATAAGTAAGATATGGCACACGCAAGTCAACTCACGTTAAAGATGGACTTGTTGCTTGTCTATCGTTCGAAAATAAATCACTTATAAATTCTATTCCACTTTTTTCCATACATTCAATCAGGTTAGCACTCAAGTTATCTCGATTCTTCTCTAAAAACCCTCGAGCATTGTACACAACCTACGTATAGTCAGAGAGAATAAAACATACTATTAGTGTGAAACTGTGCTATGGTGTTGTCTTATGTTTACTTTGCCTGCATAATGATGAATTCCAAATGCTGTTTCATTTCCTCTTGGTCTAATATAGCGCTTATGATTTTTACAATGCATATGAAACTTTTGTACCAGTGATTCATCATTTGCTTTGGGAAAACGTGATTCTTCGTCTAATAGTGCAAATATGCCTAATGGCTAAAAGTTAAATTGATTCTATTGAAAATTAATAAACAGTTAATCAATTTTGTACACACATACGTACACCCATGAACAATTCAATAAGATCTTCATTGTTTTGGAAGTCCACTTTTTCCAGCGGTATACATTCTAATTTATAATCCATTTCTTCTTGTAAAAATATGTGTTCATTAAAATAATACTGTAAATGTTCATTTGCCACGTTAATACACAGTTGTTCAAAACTATTAACTTGGAAATTTTCAAAACCGGACATATCCAAAATGCCAATGGTTTTGTAAAGTACTTCATCAACAATGTATCTAAGGAAAAAATTAAGACATAGTACAAGACTAAACAAAAATCCCGATTCATTCTGATACTTTTGCTGTTTATTTGGCTGTAAAAGATTGTTAACTTGTTTTACAATCCAAGCAAATAATCTTTCGTACATTGCTTTAGCCAATGCATCACGACAATCATTGGCTTGATCAACATTTTTCAAACTTATTACTCGCTCACCTAGAAGGTAAATAAACATCGTAAGTTGTGAGAAGATTTCTCAGTTTCAATAACGATGAACAAATATAGAAAATGCTAGAAGAAAGATGGAACTGCTGTTGTTAAAGGTTTTCTATCAAACAAGACAGTCTATCTAATCATACCTTTAGTTGTGCTAAACGTCGAAATTAATGCCATAGTAAGAATTTCTTGATCGAGTGCCAGAAGACTACAAACTAGAAAAACACAAAAAAAGCAAGCTAGTTTTGAAGATGTGGTAATTAGCTGATGCGAGTATACGTACCAACTTCAAGTGCATGTTCATCTTCAACAAATACTCCATCTGTTTCATCATCATGAGAAAAGCGAATGTTTGTAAGATGTAATATGGCTGACAACAGAGTAAATACAATGGTTGTATCCTAAAATAGAAGAATTAATTATAAGATGTATTCATTTTGAGTGAATCGTTTTGTCTCTTGAAAATCTGTTTCGTTACTTCATTTGTAAATCCGACACGTCTCATAATATCCTTTTGTGTATGAAAACTTTGTCGACAATGTTTAAAATCTGTTCGACTTGGGAAGACTTTTCCACCACATGGATCTTTTAATATTCTAAAATCAATAATTTTTCAAAATCACTAAAAATCTGTATGAGTATTTGTAAAATACGATAACACCCTCTTGCAGTCACGAATTAAAATCTGATGCAGTCAATAGACAGAGTTCACTCAGGTGATTATACTTACATAAACTAATATTGAAGTGGATACTCAATAACATCTATAACAGTCATCAACAATCGTTGTCGTTTAAAAAAGATACGAGCTACATGCTCTCAATGCTGCATTACGTTTATATTTACTAAATCAAAGAGCGTGACTGTGTTAGATTCTAATTTGTGACTGCGAACGGGTGTTATCGTATTTTACAAATACTCAATCTGCAATATAATGGCGTGTGATCAGACGGAAAAGATCTACTTCTTTCATATATTTTTTCGTTTTTAAACAACGCAAATTCCTCGGATGACCGTTTTGAATTTAAACAAAAATATTTTCTTAAATGTAATTCATTTCCATCTGATCACATACCACAACAGTATGAGTTATATGAACCTGTAATGTTCGGGATTGTCCAAATGGTAATATTCCAATAATTCTTTTTCTAAACCAGCAAACATATAGTAAAAAATATGATAGTTCCTTTCACCGGGTCCATGTTGAACAACACGAGATTTTTCCAATAAATAGTCAAATACTTTCGCTATAGATAAATGAAATAGACAACTTATGATGCGTATACAATGCATTTTATATCACTTACCTCCAACAATTCGTCCATCATCTGTAAAACTAAGTTGTAAATATTTACCAAATCTCGATGAATTATTATTCATACACGTTTGAGCATTTCCAAATGCTTCGAGCAGAGGATTTACCTATCGAATGGCGTAGATGTGACGTACAAAACGTAAAATAAAATAAAGTAAGCATTATTACCTCAATAATACGTTTTTGCAATTCTCGATCACTGGCATCTCCTGAACACTCTTGAATTATATGAGAAACCATCAATTTCGTTGATTCTGTTTTTCCTATACAATCACCATTACCTACAGAAAAGCATAGTTGATCATCAAAAATAACTTACCACTTCCCGATTCGCCCGATACAGCTATACATTGTGGTTGATTTGATAAGCGTAATTTACGATAGGCTTGATCAGCAACCCAAAATATGTGTGGACTCAATTGACAACGATATTTGACATGTTTGTACAGGTCATGTTGCTAAAATACCAATAGATTTGAGGAAAGATTCTGCCAGAAACTCATATCCCAATGTAATTGAGCTTTTGGCATTTAGATTGATTCGCGAGAAAGTTGGGGGTTAAAATCAAGTTGGTCCAACCATTTTAAAGTTTTCGAACATGAACAAAGTTAAACAGAAAGGGATGAATGTACCTGTTTCTCATAAATATTCAGTTGTTTGAAGGGATTTATTGCAATAAGAACATCTCCAATATACGTCTAGAAAAACCAAATGCAATTAAATCTTCTCGTTTGTTTATGCATTATCTTACATAAATTATTCCTTTTTTGTATCGGGCATGAAGTTCCCGTAATAAATTCTCTGTATCTAGTACAGTCAATGTCGATAAATCGTCAACATCGCCGAAACCTATTTTAAGAACCATTGAACGTTTTATTGGATGCACAAATGATAAACGTTCTGAAAATAGAAAAACAAACAGTTTTTACTTCATCATTGAACCAGTCATTCGCTGAATGACTGGTTAGTCATTTTTCACATTTTTTCTCTAATTTATCACCACACTTCACCGTGTCAAAATACTACGAATTTAACTGTTTTCATGAATTTAACTAAACAATTTTAATTAAACATTCAATTTCAAGGTTATCCATTTGTAAATACAGCTCAAGGAGGAAACAGCTGATTTTTGGTTTTTTTCAAGTTTCACCGATTTTCGTCGATTTTCACTGATTCTCATCGATTTTCATCAAATGAAAAGTCACCAGAAATTACTGGAAGTCATTGGAAATCACTGAGAACCACTGAAACTCAATTGATTTTGGATGATTTTCCACTGATTTTTAGCTGATTTCAATCATCTGTTTCCCCCTTGATACAACCACAGAAAATGTTACAAAAAGTAAAATTTTCAAGATAGAATCTGAATCTGTAATGGAAGCAAAATATTTCTTACATGTTCTTCCAATCTGTACTTATATTATTCACCTACTTTATTTTAATTTAAATAAATCATAAGAATGAAACAATAAGTTAAGTAATTAATTAATGACTAATGATTAAGTAATCAGTCATAGCTCATTTTTTTTCCTCCAGCACAGGAAAGCAGTATAATCAAAAAATGCCGTTTATTTTGTTTTTTATTACGAGAACATTGTTGAACATTTGGTGTGATTAACTTATATTAAATTTTAGGCAAGTATACGCGAAATGAACTAATTCTTCTTGTTTCGTATAGAAACTATTTAAAAAAGAAATGATAAAGAAAAAACGTTTTTCGCGTCATATATCTCACTTAAGATACATTCTTTCGTTTTGTTTAATAAAAAGATTTCTTTTTATTGTTGTACAAATGATGAAGACACAACAATAGAAGAAGAGAAAAATTATACAGGATGTCTTTTTCCGTAATACATTGTGCGATTAAAGATATTTGTATCATTTGTTTGTCCACCCATCTTTTGAATAAATAAGAAATTGACATATACCTGTTTTGTTATCAAGAAGGAAGAGAGCACCTACATTCATTCAAAAAAAAAGTAGAACTCATGTGATTAAGAGAGATAAGAAGAAATTCTTCCGATTGAGGAAAAATTCAGGCGAATAATCAAGTTTGTGTGTGTGTGTATGTCCATAGAATGAAGATGATGATGATAATAATGATTGTTTGTAGGAGAAGCTCTGTATAAAAGATTAGAATTAATGTTATGGACACATTCATGCATCTTGTTCTTTAGTATAAAACATTTAGAAAATGTTACCAAAAAAATTTCAGAAAAAGAATTTTGAACCTAATCTGTGTCAGTAAAGGGAGGGACACTACTCCGTCCACATTAAATATTCGAAAAATGAACTTGTACGATAGTTTATCATTTTGAAAAAAACTCCACTTTATTAAACAATCTCTAATAGATAATTATCTTTTTCTTTTATTCAGTTGGCTGTTATTAATAATAATGATTACTTTTAATTAACATCAGGGTCTCAAATATCGAGAGGGATGTACTCCTCAAATAATTGAAAATTTTGTTGCGCTTTTGGACAAAATTTCGAGCATCACTCAATCAAGAAGTAGTTAACAAAATACAAAAAATAGAAAGCACCCTATTTTATGGACTCATTTTAGCATTAAAATCTTTGAGCTCACATGTTGACCGTCTTATTTATAGATCTTTTCAATGAGCTATTTCAGATCTTTTTGTAAAAAAAGCAATCATTATAAATTAATTCACTTACTCAGCTGTCAGAATATTGTAAAATAACCGTAGTGCTTGTTTTTATGTTTCGTTAACTCTCATCAAGGCTTCCTCATTCGACTTTTGACCTCGTGATAATATGACCTCTAAGGTCACAATACGATATAACTAAATGATAATCAAAAATCTTTTTGTAAAAGTTGAACTTTTTTGACGCAGGTTTCAATTCAAAATTTAAAAAAAACTTTAAAAAAAAATTTCTATAACTATCGATTAAAAGTCATGGATCAGACATATGTACACGCAAACCATTGGTTTCGGACAATTATAGATGAAAAATCAGTTTAGATTTTGAAGGAAAGACAATCGGTCAAGAAAAGAGATGCAAAAACCCGGCAAAATAAGAGTTTTTGAAATGTATCATCAGCAGTCTAATAATTCCATTATCCAATTCTTGAATTGACTTGGCATTTTTTCCTGAAAAGCATTCATTTTTAAAATAAAAATATCTTGGCGATTTTAAATGTTAAACAAAATTTTGTTCCATTCGATAAATAATTTTGTTTTCTAAAACTATACAAGATCAATTTTGTTGATATAATACTTCGCTATTCTAAATACATCCATTGGGAAGGCATCGGGCTTTGAGTGGTTAATTACGTTTTTGCCAAGGACTGACAATCGACATAACAGATTCACTAGTTACGTTATATGCTAAATATTTATTAAATTATCGACTGGACGTTAGTTAACACATCGTATAAGTTAGTATGGAAGAAAAAAGATGTAGACATACAAAAAAAATACTATATTTGAAAAAAATTGTTATCTCAATTATTAGTATATATCACAGGCAATATATCTAAGATAAAAAAAAGTAAAAGAAAAAAAAAATTTTAACATAGGAATTTGTTTAATGTAAATACTGTCTGCTTCCTGTTTTCTTCTTTCTCTAAAAAAAATATATAATCGCGTCAAAGAAATTTAATTTTCATCTCCTACCTCCCTCGAGGTCTACCATTGACTACAAACTGCCGTTTGAGTAGATTCTCCTTTCCTTTTATTGAAAATGCCATGTGGAGCTCTCATGGAGCTCTCATCAGGTTTCATTCTATCCATCGGTAGCATAATACGGATATAAATTGAAATATTGTATGGCAGTCCTCTTTTGTCATGAAAAATATTTTGTCGAAAAGAATACTTACGGGTTTGATTCGTACTGAGGGAGGGGTTTGTTCGTCATTGTCAGATGAATCTTGAAGATATGAAGATGATGATAACGATAATGCAAATTGATTTGTTTTACTTTTTAATCTAGTTTGATGTGGTGGTTCAACACATGTTCCTTCTAAATGAGATACAAAAACGAATAAAATTGTTCTTCCATACAGTAATCGAAGAAACCAGACCTTTTTGTTTAACATTTTTACCCTCTGTCATAGCTAACAGAGTTTGATCGTCATCATCGTAGGATGCAGCTGTTGTGTTTGAAAGAATATAATCATTTTTATGTGATTTTTTGTCACGACGTTCTGTTTGTTTCAATTGAACCATCATAATGTCAGTTGCACGCTTTTTCGGATCACATGTATCCACAGCTGCTGTCGGTTCCTTTTTCATTTGTAACCGACCTGAATGTACATGTTTCTTTTGTTCACTAAAACTACTGTCGGATACTAGAGCCTTATTTGGTTTTCTAAAATGAAATTATAATTAAAAAAAAAATCAAAAATTATTTCTATTCTTTATGCAATTTACTCTTTCTTTGTATGTGAATTATCGAATGATATAGACTGAACAAATTTTGTCATAGGTTTCAATAATTTGACCTTGCTGCTATCAAACGGAGATAATGTGGATGATTCATCTTCACTAAAATTTGCTATTGTTGTTATATGCCCATATGAAATGGTTGATTGTGGTTCATTTGTACTTATAGTATCACTGGCAGTTAAAAATGAATATGCAGATGCTGGATCAGTTGATGTTTTAAATGTTATTACTGGTCTCAACGGATTTTCTTTATTATGAATAAAAAATGTTGTACCAGCACACTGATTATGTTGATCGTCATCATCAAACATTTCATTACAATTGTTGTAATCAATCAGTTGGAGTTGTTCTTCACCTTAAAATACAAAAGAGAACAAAGATAATCTTATTCACAGTGTATATACAGTCTCAGAAATATATATATACTAGGGTACTGTAGAGGTGTAACCGGTATCAAAAATGCGATACCGTTACCGGTCACCGGTACGAATTTCGTACGTGAAAGAACTGTAAATCTAGTTTTAGATATAAAACATCTTCTCAAGTGTAAATCCACACTATTTCGTCTCTCCAGGTTAGTTTTTATTAGTTATTATAAAGTTACGGTTTTGGCTTGATAGTTTCATGTTAATTGCAGCTAATTTTAGAATTTTACTCTACAAAACTTGGTATTTCGACCATTCACGGTCACAAACATTGATAAAAGATAATCGAAAACAAACGATACTGGGAAAGTCGGCCATTACAAATTATTAATAAAAGAATCACTTTTGATATGCTCACAAGAACCAATACTAAATGGTACAGATCATTCGGTACCATTATACGTCTTGTGTGTACATTTTCACTTTTGACAATGGCTGTGAATAGTCGAAATATCAAGTTTTGTAGAATAAAATTCTAAAATTAGCTGCAATTAAGATGAAATTATTTCAAAAATCGTCGCCTACTGATATTAAATTTGTATTGACTTGATAGTATTACAAGAATTAAACATTTGAGGTTGCAGTATAATTACAATCAAAAGACAAAACTTACGGACACAACATTTTTCTGCAACTTGTCCCGACTTCTTCACAATATCAGTTTCACTATTCACTAAGCGAGATTTAGCTAGACTATTTCTTTCTCAACTTACCGAAATTTAACGTTTCATTATTAGTAATACACGTGATATTACTAATAGTACTTTTCTCATATTGTTTTTCACGAGAACTCATCATACTATTATTGTTTTCATCGATAAACGAATTTTCTCCTGATTTTTGCGATTGAAATGAGGAGAATGATGGACAATTGTATTTAGACATATGTTCTATATCTGTTGTCGCTTTCCACTGTTCTTCTGCTATTTGTTGAACAATAAATGTTTGAAGCGGTTGTAAAAGATTATTCGAATTGATAATTGTGACGTCGTTTTCATGATATATATCTGATGATCTTGATGAACTAAGAGACATTTTTATAAATGTTTCATCTTGTTTTAAGCTTACTATTGGTGGTCTCGATGTTGGTGTATCGAAAAGTAAACGTCGTTGAAGTGGTGGTGAAACTTGTTCAACTAATGTCATTTCATTTTCTTCATTCGATGTTGTTGTGACTGATGACAATGATGAGAAAGTTTCATTAATTTCATTATGAGACTGTTTTTGATTCGATAATATTGATAATCGCATCCGCGTTTCTGAAATAAAAAAAATAAAAAAACGTTTTGAATGTTGCTTTTATACTTTATCAATAACTAACGTCTGATTGTTTGTATCAATAATGGAGTTATGCCTGACGTATCATGCTGTGAAATGAAACAGATATGATAAGTGGCCATTTTAAATTACAGAATTCATACCAATATTTTGAATAATTCATATTCATTGGTTTCATCGATTGTGTTCAAACTATCTGATGGACTTTGTTTAATACCACGTGGTAATGTGCTATAAGAACGCAAATCTCCTGGTAAAAGCAGTTTTCTAGAAACGAAAATAGAAAAATAAAAATGAAATTATTCTGGAGAGTCAAATCTTACTGATCCATCAATGCATGCATTTCTTTCCAATAATCAACTTCCTCTTTGATGACATTCATAATTTCATCATGTCGTTGACGAACGAACTGAGATAAATCAGTCATACGCTAAAAAATAAATAATAAAGTTTTCTAGTCAAATTGAACTTCTTTTCTTTGTTTCTATTGAGGCATGCCTTTTCGAAATAAGCTTCGATTGACATTTCAGATAATCGACACATATCTTCTAACATAATATATTTTTCCTTTAATTTTGAAATTTTGAAATTACGTTGTTCGGTATCAGCACATATATCGTAATTTTTATTTTTTAATGATTTTATATCATCTTCTAATATTACTAGAGAATAAATAAAACAAAATACTTAGTAAAAACATGTTCCATTCTACTACTTACTATTGATGCTACGAAAAACACATAGCCGTGCTGCTCTGTAGGCAGATTTGTGTTGACAAAAACGACGGTGATCCCATTTAAAATCAAATATATAACGATCATAATCCATCCTATAAAGCGACGAACATAAAGTACAATAAAAAGAACAAGTCAGGAAAACTGTGTTAATAAAAGGAAGAAAAAAAGGAGGTTGAGTAAACATTATTTTATGTTTCATTAAATGCTTGTAAAACTTTTATTTTATAAACTGTCTGATTTTGATGTCAGCAAGATTCTTGGTCGAGGATGAGAGAATCCAAGATGTGCCTCAGGATAATCAAAAAAAATGAGAGTACCGATGTCATGTTGAATAAGAAAATCGAAAACAAAAGTAATGTCTTACTTGTAGGTAGATATGAATTATTTACTATAAACCCTCCTAACACAAAGACAGACAAATGATAGAAATGAAATGCGTTAAATAAAGTTAAAATATTAATGTACCAAAAGATAGTTATGTTCGAAGAAAATAGTTTTTACTGAAAAGAGAAGGTGGAATGAAAAAAAGATACACGTGTGAAAAATAAACTTTTGTATCAACTGTTGAACTTAGACTATAATACAAAACAGTCTACTAAACCTTTTCTCTTTTTATGCATAATGTTATCTACTATACATGTGAGTGAATGGCATAGTCATTTGTACCGTTCATTTTCCACATGTAAAAACGAGGATAATTTTTTTTCCGCTAAACCAATTTCAAAATTTCTTTTTTTGTTTTCTTTAACTACATTAGGCCTACTACCTTGCTAGAAGACAACTTTTTATCTCCTGTAGTTTACGAGATATAATCGTCGCATTTTGGTATTGGTTGTTCTTTGATGACGCCCACTGAGAAAAAACGAATTTTTTCCAATATATCCAGTCTTCCATGAGGTATTACTGTTTTTCCATTTTGTAGGTCACGTCTTTTTCTACAATTTGACATCATTTGCCTCCAGACAGGTAAGATTCCAATTAGAAAAAAGCTGATATTTGCTTTGTTATATACTTTGGAATTTAGGTCTGGTGAGATTTCAAAGCGTAATATTGAGTTAAACAAAAAAACTGGAAATGATTGTCAATAAGTAGAATCGATACAGATTCGAGTGCGTAACAAATTGATAAGAAAATCTAATTTGAAAAGTACAGAAAATTCTGTTATATTGTCGAGAGTCGAGGCTTTTCCTACAAAATGTCAGATTTTCGATTTTGTTTTTTCGCTATCTCGATAAATAATACTCCGATCAAGATCAGACTTGATCATTTTTAGACCTCATGAGATAGATTTGATATTTTGTAAAAATATGAACCGGAAATATGGCAAATTTGAAAAATACCCAAAATATCCTGTGAGATTTCTAAATGGTTGTTTGCAATGAAAATAAAAACGAACCATGACTTGTTCTATTCTATTCGATTCGTCTGAGTGTATTCTATTCAACCATGAAGCCTAAAAATACTAATTCTGCAAGTGCGTGGAAGAATTTTCAAAACTCATTTTTCGATCAGAGATTTTTGTTTTGGGCATTTTCAGAAGGAAATCTACGTGATAAAGTATTGAGAGTTGCACCAGATTTGGCTCATCGAGACCTAACGATTTTATATAATACTTATTATTCCTCTCAAGTATAATTGGGGATTTTTGGAATCACATTGGAGATTGAGCTACTTGTAAGTATTAAAACATTCACTGTTTTGAATATAAAGTGTCGAAAAAGCTTGTCGGATTAACCCATCTGGTAATAAAACTCAATTCGACGCTCGGAATATCTTTTTGTAAGCAACTTACTTTTCAAACTTTTTTACTAAACGTTACAAATAGCTATGCCATTCACTCACATATAATAGCTTCTCTATTCGAAAATAATAGCTGAAAACAGACTCGAATGATACGTTTCATGTATAAGTTAAGCAGCTCACAATCAGTTAGAGAGATTGTTTCAGAGCTTTGATTTTCGTAGAATCATGGTTATTCTGGTGTATCTGTTATTCTACAAATAATTGTCACTGTCGAAACTACTATTTACAGAAACAATGGAACTTTTCCTTACGGTTAGAATTTCGAAATGTGATATCTGTTGTTGAAACTAAAATTAAATGAAATAAATGACAAAAAGATTTTAAGAAATTAGTAGTTTGTATGAAGAAAAGTAATTTATTTACTTTACAATTTATGGAATGCAAGATTTTTCCACTAGTCTTTTCGATGACAAAAAAACTTGGGAAAATAGCGTTTTGAGCACGGACAATATATCTGTTTTATATGTTCTTATTCCTTTATTGCTCGTGAAGAAAATATATTTCAAAATGAAAAAACAAAATTAGTGACAGATCAACTATTTGTCACCAACGAAAAAGCTAATTTAGCTTTTTTTTGACATCCTCTTTTTGTCCCAAGATCTTGTAAGCTAGCACGATTTACCACCATATAATGCCCAAATTGCATCATTAGACCGACTGTGTGTTTGCAGACATGTTTTTTTAAGTTATTCTTACACAAAAAAATCATTAGCATAGTTACTAATCTTCTCAAATACAATTAAGTGAAAAATTCTTGAAATGTTGTCCTGTTTCTATACAGTACGTGAAATAATGGATACATATGAAGTCCTTCGAGAAGATATGTATTAGATGGTCCATCACAAACGAAAAATATCCGTGCTCAAAACAATCTTTTCAGTAAAAAACCGTGCTCTTTTCTGTCTCCATGCTCATTTCAGCCAAAAGATTTATTTGAGCACGGTCTGTGTTCAAGTAATCCATTCTTTGCTCATGTCGGTCTAAAAACCGTGCTTAAAAACGTCTTCGTCAAAAACAGTCTCAGAGCTTGAGACTTTGTCATGTAATCAATAGCAGCATAGTTTTATAGCTTGCATTTGGAAACAAATAAGATGGCGTTGTGCTCTTCACTAAATGGAAGAAGACTGTCTGTTCTCGTTGTACATCTCAAATAACAAAAACTTATTCAGAAAATGGTCTCTTTCTTTACTCTTTTATTACTTACTTATAGACTTTGGACTAATAATTATAGTTAACAGTCCTATTTTCGCTTATTTGTCAATTATTGAAATTAATGTTACGTTTGTATACAAAACAATCTGCATATTCGATGATTAATTCTCTTTTATCTGTTGAGTCAAGAACAAAAGTTCATTGTTTTCAACATGTACAGTCTGACTTCAATATTTATTGGTAAAAGACAAAAAAAGAAAGATACAATAAATACCCAGAGAAAAACACGATGTTTTTGAACATTACAAGAAAAACGCAAACAGTTGAAAGAACCGAGTATGATTAAAAGAAAAATCGTGTGTTGATCATGCAGCACGCGTGCGCGATGTCACAACAGAATAAAACAATTAAGTAGAATAATCGTGGAAGACACTACTGGTTGTCTCAAAAAACACGCGTATCAAAAGACATCGGTGGTTAACATGAATTTTAAAGATTAAGGTTAATCACACACACACACACACACAACACACAAAGACAGTAAAGCATTGCTTTTTAGGAATATGTTTGATAATCTGTTTTTGAAAATTTACATACAGAAAAAAGTAAGATTTTAGAAACACAAAAGTCAATAAAAGAGAGAGAAAACTCGGTTAATGCTGTTCTTCATTAATAGATAATTGTGGCAAAATGAAAAGAAGAAAAAAGATGATCAGTGGAGACATCATCTACACATGATTTCACTAAAAATTCTTTAGCACACAAAAAAACAAATGCCAAATTGTTTGGTTACCCGACTATAATGACATGTAATTTTGTTCACTTTTAATGAATAAGTCCGTTCAATTTTTTCGAAAAAAAACGTCATCTTATGACAACTTACAAACAGAGAGATATACATATACCAAAAAAAACACACAAGGCGTTCATTTTTTAAGGCGGCCAGCACCATGCCTGAGAATTATCTATATAGCCACTGTGTATGGTAAAGGAGAGAGATGAAGACAAAAATGGCAGACATATGCAAAAATAGGCTGCGATATAATGAGCAATCAATTGTCTTTCTTTCTTGACTGAATCGAAATATTTCACTCATAAGAGGTTGTTGAAAGGAAAATAAAAAGAATAATAACAAATATAAGAGAAAAAGTTGAGAAAATTTCAGCACAATAAAGAATATAAAATTGTTTTAAGAGTATTAAATCATAATAATGAACATTTAGACCAAAATGATGATACTTTCTTTTCATGGTGATTTCTACTTGGTTTAATGACAGTCGATGTCTCTGTACCCTGCAAACAAACAAGATGAAACTTTATGTGGAAGGTTCGGATCATACGAGAAAAGCTACGATTCTCTGAAATCGCATAAGAGCAGCTTGCGATATCGATTACAGTTTTCTCCTACTTACACTTTTTTTATCAATTTTTGCTTTAATATCTTTTGCTAATGTAGTGAATGCTTCTTCCACATTTATGTTTGCTTTGGCACTTGTTTCCATGAATTTGATTCCATATTCCATTGCCAGCTATAAGAATATACAATTAGGACTTTTAATAATAAAGTATTCGCAAATTTTTATTTTCAATCAAAGTTCATATAAAATATAATTACGCTACAGCAATGGGCTGTAACTTAAATTCACTTACCTGATCGCTTTTATCTCGACTAACTTGTCTTTTATCAGCCATATCACATTTATTTCCAATAAGCATTCGTTCGACATCGGCTGATGCATGCTAAATTCAAATGAAGGACAGAATAAGAAAGATCAATTTTCCATCGATATTTTAACACCAAACTCACTTCTTCAATGTTTCTAATCCAATTCTTTATATTATCAAAGCTCTTTTCACTTGTAATATCATATACCAACATGATTCCCTAAAGGTAAACGAGTGAGGTTTAAACATATGATTCAAATTATTATCTTGATAAAACGCTTACCATAGCCCCACGATAATAAGCGGCTAAAAAAAGAAAAAAATGATGAAGAGAGTGCGTTTATGTGAAGGAATTGAATGCTACTATACGAACTTGTTATCGTTTTGAAACGTTCTTGACCAGCAGTATCCCTAGAGATACAGCAAAACAACTTTTCTTTTCAAAAACTAAGCCAAGTGCAAATGACATACCATATTTGTAGTTTTATTTTTCGGCCGTCTAAATCGATTGTACGAATCTTAAAATCAATTCCTAAAAAGATAGTATTCGTTTGATCCTACTGAACAAGTATATTCTTGAATAATTTGCTTACCAATTGTAGAAATAAATGTTGTACTAAATGCCGAATCGCAAAAACGTAATAGCACACATGTTTTCCCAACACCTGAATCACCTATAAAAGCAAAATCATGATTAGTCAGATACGACAGATGCATCTCATCATTACAGGAAAGTCGATAACTCGTGCAAAGATACGTATTATTAAGAATCGTAAAACTTTTATAGTTAATCTTTCTATGGTACAAATAAGAATTGAGCAAATTTCATTTTCCAGATACATACAGAATATATACTTATAAACGGTTGAAACTACGGACTGGTTTTTTGAACTAATCTTCCAACCTCTGGGGAGTACGGACAAATGAATGAAACAGCTCACATAGACTAGTGAAATTCGAAATTACTGAGTTTGTTATACTTTTAAAAATTTGAAAAGTCATCTCTACGAACTCACCGATCAAAAGTAGTTTAAAGAGATAATCGTATGCTTTTGCCATGTCGTTCTTTGTTTGAAGGTAAGTCAATAATTAATAGTAGTTCATCTGTAAATAAAATACATGCTATACAAAAATTTAATAATTGAATGGAAATTTTGTAAGAAAATATAATCATCAACTAGGCGAGATGAAGCGAAGTTAATTTTGTTTGTTCAAGACAATTATGATCAATCCATCGATCAATCGTGTCAGGTCCGACCGGACCAAAAGTATGACTCATACATTACTTTAATGGTTAGCTTTTTAACCAATGTATTACGAAAGATTTTCACACCATCCTATGCTATTAAGTTAATTTTAGTAAAAGATTCAAGCTTAAAAGTTAATTTTGTTACCAAAAACTGTACTTTTTAGCCATGGTGAGAGAGGCGCTAGCATTCATATTATTGATTGGTCAGATTTTCCAGGAGAGAAGTATGTATATATTGTTCATTGTAAAATTTGACATCTGAATTTGCGTTGGCCAACCGGATAAGAAAGTAAAATAACTTAATCATACATAACTTAATCATAGCTTAATCATTTATTAGTCACGGTATTCCTTCAGCAGGTATTCTTCCAGGACCACAAATAACGGGAGGATGCTCACTCCGCGAATAACGGGAAAAACTGTTGTTATTTTGTTTATTATTCCTCGCGCAAAAATTTTTTCTATCAATTTCATGCTACCTCAGGCAGAAATTTTGTTTTATATCCCCTAATGTTGGGCTCCTATCTACGGCCTTGGTTCCCCATACAGATTTATTGTTCCTCTAACATTTTTCAGCAGTTGTCTTGTAGAGCTGGAAATTCTAATGAAAACGAGCTCTCTACGACATTTCCTCATGGAACTATAGATGGTAAAACTACTGAAATAAGTTCTTTCTTAGTTTCTAAGCGGTTTTTTGCACTTTTTACCATTTTTCGTGCACCTGTAAGTTCCTTCCGTGAGCGAATGTCGTATAGAGCTCGGAGAGATCTCGTTTTCATCAGAATTTTCAGCTCTACAGGAATAAACTGTTGGGGAAAAGTTCCGAATAACTCTCAAGAACCTAGGATCCCAATAGAGTGATTTTCTCGAAATCCTATCTTCAAGACTTTCTATGAAACAGTGACATATACCTCATCTGATAGGGCATCGTTTCAGTTGTCCAACTTTGTCGGCTTCACAGAAAATTTTCGAAAATCGTGTACTCTTAGAATTTTGAGCAGTACCGTATTGTTGCTGTGATAATGCGTATTAAAAATTCTTGAACGACAACATTGATATTTAGTTCAGAAAAGATGGTGTGTACTGGTGCAAAAAGGGTATTAAAAATATTGTCTTCGTTTGATCACTTCCACACTCGATTACATGTTTCTTTTTTCCTATTTTTAATGAAGATTCTTGGCCAGTAGTTAGACGATACGTATGTGTTATCCAAAAACAAGGATCTTCCTTACGCTGTTTTGCTGTTTCTATTACAATTTCGTCAAATTATCTTTTGTTGTATCTTCTTAAAAGAAAATTTCGTGATTTCAAAATATGGTAAGATCTGTGGATGTAAAATTTCCCATTCGTTTAGAAGGATTAGTTTTGAGGCATTTTGCAGATACTATCCTACAATTGACTTGTTTAACGTAGAAGTAATCGTATTTTCCATTCACTTTTTAAGATATGAACCAGACTTTTTTTCTGGTCTAATATCTCGTATGATACAACCAAAAATTGTTTTACTTATTTTTGGTTCAGGAAAAGTTGTTTTAATCGGTAAATTTCTTTTATATTTTACATAAAAATATAATGCAGCATACTTACTTGTTTTTGCTATGTCTACTTCAGGTGCTAAAGTTCGACGAGAAAAATTCACGACTTATTTGAAAGAATTTATCCCATTTTGAAAGGTTTCTGAAAATAAACTGATGGTTTAATTATCTTATTCGTCTGTTTTTTCTTTGACAATTTTTTGAAATAATTTTTTATTATTGTTTTATATTTTTGCTTCCTTTCAACATTTGTAATAACGGTGACAAAGAACGAACTTGTCTAATAAACTTTTATATCAAATCACAATCGTTTTATAATAGAAGAGTTTCAAGTATCTATAAATGTTATTTATGCAGCTCATTCTAAAGATATACGAACTTTTTACACAAGTTTTTTTTCGTTCTTTCAACGAACATTACATTTGAAAGAAGTTTTTTTTACTTGAACAGTAGCACAATTCATTTTTCTTCCTATATGTAGTAGAAGCATGAATTTTATCATAAGAGATACTGTTGAAACTTTCAAACAATAACAAGAACAGAAATTTACTGATACTTCTTTGTGCAAGATTCAATATTAACCTAAAAGCATATTCGAACTCAGTCAGTTTACTTACCTTCAGTTTTGTGTTTTCTAGCTGTTTGCCTACATATTGAACTTATTCTGACTCTGAGATAAAAGATACATAGATGAATAATAAAATACTTGAAAAACTAATATTTAATAATTTGTATAAAAGTACAAAGAAGAAGCATCAAGCAAGTAACATTGACTGTATGAAGCAAAAAAACAAAAAAAAACGACGAACTAATAAAAATAAAAAAAACGTGAAAATATATGAAAGTTAGACCGGATTGATTATATCTGAATAGAATAAAAATACAAAAGAATTTATAGTTTTGTTGAATCATGATTTTGCAATAATTGATGTGCTGGATAAACTGAATAATTTTGTGGATAATCTGTCTCATATATATAATTTGTTTCTGGTGACCATGCATGTTGACCTATTGTCGTTGGATAATGTTCTGATTGTTGATTAAACGGTGATAATGCTAGATGATGGAGTACGGGCGTTTGTGGAATAATTGCATCTTCAAGCAAATAGGTTGTTGGATTTATACTTACTCTTGGTGATAATAAATGTGTCGGAGTTGACAATGGAGAAAGAAGTTTATCATCCATATAAGCATCAATAAATGATGGTGTTGGTAATTTTTGCTGCTGTTTTAATATCGTATTATAAATACTGAAACCTGATTTTGTATGCATCGATGTAGTGGAAGGTTTTTTATTGTTGTTTGACGAAGATGAAAAATCTCTTCCTGGAAATGGGATGGTCGATGACGATGATGACGAATAAATAGTTGAGATTTTTTTCTGAAAAGCATCTCCCCAACATGTTCGTTTAGCACGAGATGTTAATATGTATAATAGAAATATGAAAAAACCAGTTAATGATCCAAATATACAGAATAAAATTTGAAATATATGTCGAACAGGGCCAACAGTTAAAAAACCAAATATCCATGTAAGACCTGACAAGAGAAAGAAAACGTTTAAAAATCGATTTAGATTATAAATTTCTCTTTAGACAAACCTAATACAATGAAGCAACTGAAAGCAACCGTAAATCGTGATATTCGACGTGTTTCAACAACTTGAGTACTTCTTAATTGTTTTGAAGCTTTACCACATAAAAGAGCATATGCAACAAAACAAAACATGATCCCATTCAAAACAATATAAATCAATATGGGTAAAATAAATGTTAAGTAGAGTGGTACTTGATTTAGCCAACAGCTAAAAAATATAGAAAAAAATTAGTTCTCCTTATTTTTCCAATCAACACTATTTTTTTATCTTACATATTATCTTTTCGACTTGTATAATTTCGATGATCAACGGCAAGAACAATGACAACAGGTACAAGTGAGATAACTAATAACGAAGGAGATGAATAGCGTGTGACATGTGAAATAGTGACAATCTTACTTTGAGCAAATGCTGCTGCTTTCCTGGTAAAATTTGGTGTATAAGATGGAAATACTTTAACAAACATTAAATATTGAATGATGGCCATGACAAACATCCAACTGAACGATGATAAAATAAAATAATGTAATAAACTGGCTATAATTATACACGGAACTTTTGTTAATTCATTTCTCGTTTTTATAGCAATAATACAAAATAAAAGATTTGATAGAAGTAAATTAATTGATAAACACAGCAATGATTTTTGACTATAATGCTGACGAAGTTTTCTAGAAAAAGAAGAAAAATTAGATATTAACTTTGCTTCGAAAAGACTGAAAAGGCAATTTCGGAAGCTTTCTAAGACCGTATTTGATGATTTATACATAAAACTATCAATAGCTCTTGAAGTCAAATATGCATTAACTCAGATTCTCCGATTAACTACGACCAAATGAATTGAACGAAAAAGAAGACGATCAGCTTATACACATAACAAGTCTATGACTGATTAATTAATTAGTCCTTATAATTTCATATACGGCATACTACTGTACTCGAATACACACTACATGTAGTGTCACATGATGAATTAATAATCTTTCTCGGAAAACAGCAAACAATTCTTAAAAAAATTTGCACGACTTTCGGAACTTATTTGATAATAATCGAGAAGAAGATAGAGAACAAGTGGCTGAATGAAGAGAGAAAGTACATCTAGAAAGAACGAAGACACACTAGATCCCAACTCACAGTGGGCATTCAGGTGGACATTTGATGAAAAATTGAAAGTGAGCTTTTTCAAGATTCAAATAGTGTCATATATACTTTGATCTACAGGCTATCTAATGAAGTAAAAATGTTTGTTCCAAGTGCTCAGTTTTAGGAAAAATATGTGAGCAAAAAGTAGCCGAAATACTAGCGACTTCGAAGAAAAAACATTTTTTTATTTCATTAAGGCGAATTATGTTTGTAAATAGTATCTATTCCGAACCCAGATACACTCAACTATCTATCAATGAAAAATTTTTCCACTATGGTCCTAGAATCTAGGCGAAAAATAATTAATTCTCAAACCAACTCTCGTTTCATTTAGGTGTTTAGAATGTAATAAGATAGCGCAAGTTAGCGCAGGGTGGGTTTGATTCAAATTATACCAAAATGTCCGTGGTCATATCCTGCATTCATTATGAATGCGGTTTTTCTACTTGACTTTGATATGGTTTACAAAAAACTTTGGGTTTTGGAGTAAAATCTATTTTTCTCGACTCAAAAACACTTTTATTGAAAACTAATGATATATTCAGAATCAGAGCATGAAACTGCGTCAAATAGCGTATAATTTGTTAGTTTTACAAATAAAAACATTTTTGTCAAAAATTTATGGCAAGGGTGTCACTCAGCGACTTTTTATCGAAAAAACTTTTTTTTGACTTCGACTTTTTTTAATTATGTTAACATTTGAGACATAGTTAAGCAATAGTATTGGAAAATAATTGTTTTTTAACTAAAAACCACATATCTGTCTGCTGTATGGTAAAAAGCCCAGTGTCCAACTCTTCTTCGCAAAGATTGAGAGATCAACGCAAGAGACGTTTCTTTTGTTGAGAAAAATCTAATCTTCTTAGAAAGTAATTAAAACGATCGATTGAGAAGGCGACAGTGAACTCTGTACTCACACTGTTCACCATGAAATTTACTAACGACTAATTATCTCGTCGGATAAACAATAGAGTTTTTGAAAAAGTGCTAAACTTTTAAAATTAACAATGTGGAAAGTAAATCGGAGATTAAACATTTAAATTCAGATGATGCATCTACAACCTTTTTCTTTCCACCAGTTTTTATCCGGAATCTGTTCCCGGCGAAAACCTGAAGAAATCTCACAAAAACGAGAAACTCTACGGAGTTCTTGAGAAATCACCATCAATGTCCACAGGATCCCAGATTAGATAGAATTCCTGCGGGATTTTTAGAGGTATCTCAAAAAGATCCTAGAAATAGGTCATGATGTTTTGAGAGTTCGTGAATGATTCTCACAGGGATTCCGAAGAATATTCACGTAGGATTTAGATGACTGGAAGTTATTAATCGTTTTGTTTTGCATGAATAACAATTATAATTGAACCACAGTATTTTCATAAGAACTTGAAACTTTTCTCGTAGGAAGTGATCATTAAAGTGTCAGAGGAAGTCACTATGATACCAGTGTTAACGACGGCATGACCTGCAGGCACAAATTTAATTTAAAATTTATGAAAAGTTTAGAAATACTGGGAGTCACACGAGATTTTTGAATCCTAAAACTAAAATATTTCGCACGGTTCCTTAAGAGAAATTTAGTCTGCTAGATTTTTACGAGGATGTCGAAGAAAGAAAGAAAATTTTTGATACTAACTAACAATAAAGAAACTTCCTATGTCAACATAACGAAAAAATTTTCGTGTTTAAATCGAATAAACTTCCTGGACGGTTTAATGTATTTCCGCCATGAACAAGAGAAATCGACATACTTGAATAAAATAAAAGTAATAATAGTTATGAGTAGGCCAAATGATGATAAAGCAAGACCAACTAATGTTATTATTGATAATGTAAGATCGAGTGATTCAATATTAGCTGTTTGTTGAATATCCTGAAAGAAAAAAAGATTTATACACCAATATTATCAGATTATTGTTGTAATGTATCCAGTATATACAGCTAATATGGCAAAATTTGTTAGATGATCACAACTACATAGAACACTATCATTTGTTTTATTAATTAAACGACATCCATCGGTTGACCATTCAGCGACTGATTTTGATAATATATTCAAATAGACACATTGCACATTACGAGGATATTTCTAAAAAATAAATATTAGTTAATTCAACAATTATTCTCATTTTTCTCGTCAGTCTCACTTGTGATAAGTAAAAGTGAATTTGAACAATATCATTTGATTTTTCATTGTATACTTTCTCATCGACAATAGCAGATACGATACTACTTATGATTTCACTTTTGTTATTACTATTTGGTAAATTAAATGCTTTATGATTATCATAAATAGTAAATGCTATTTGAACTGGTTGCAATGTTGTTGCTGTAAGACAAAAAATAAATCAATAACTGTAATAATAGTTATTATTATAGACAAAATTTACCAACAGAATTTTGTAAACTTTTAATTATATTTCGATTCAATGTGACAAAAGTTGATTTCGATAAATTTTTTAAATTAAAATGTACTTTAACATAATCAACTTTTTTTGATAATTCATCTACAAAATGTAAAAATATAAATGTAAAAGAAATGAAAATGTTGTTAACATGATATTTTAAGAGTTTAACGTACCAAGAGCAAAACCCATAATAGGATTTGAAATATTTTGATCAATATTAATTACACTCACAGCAAAATTATTGAGAATAGATGTTGTAGATATTTTAAGATTTTTAGAAAATGATTCGACTGCTGTCAAGAGTCTAATTTAAAAAAAATATTCAATTACTCGTTGAGGGATAAAAAGAGATTTATACTTCGCCATGCTGCCATTCATTTCCTGCGCTTGTTGTAATTGTAATAGTGGACTAGATAAAAGTTTATCAGCAACTGAATAAAAATCATATTGTGTCTAAATTTAGTTCAAACAGAATACATTTTAACTGATAATTTCAATGATCCAACAAACCTTGTTTGTAACATTTGAATAACTGGACAGATTTGTCACACGTTCAATTAAATCGGTAACATAAGCTATGTTCGATGAATTATCATAGGATGAAATGGATGTGTGATTCAAATACGTTAAAATATCTGAAATATTTTGTGGTTGAAAATCAGGAATCTAAATGATTTACATTTCATTTTATTGAAGTTATTTAAAATCAAATGTTTATAATTAACATACGTTTGCCACTTGTTCGATGGTCATAAACAAATATGGATTATTCTGTATTTGATGATCACCTAATCCTAATATGTTCGTTGTTGTCAGTTTTTTATTAATGATTATTTCATTGTCGTTTGTGCAATTACTAATATAAAATTCGCCGCCCCATGAACTATTTGAATAGCATGCCGAATAGATATAGGGACGTCCCGTATCTATAATAGTGCATGTTGAGATTTAAATCTGAGATGAACTGATCATAACTTACATGGACATGTTTCTAGTGAACCAATGTTTCCTACTTCCGATTCAGCAAAATTATAGGATGCTGTTATTGTTGCATTTTTTATTCGGAAAGTTGCCTGAGGACATTTAGCTAAAAGAGGAAATGTTATTTGTACCATTAACTGACTGCCATTTATAGGTAGGACGTGGGAAAGTGATTTTTAACCCGACTAGATGTGAAACATAATTTGCTAGACAAACATGTGAAAAGAAAATGTGACCAGAAATCGAACTCAGGATCAGGGGTGTAACCGGTATCAAAAATGCGATATCGACATGTCTTGATTATGTTTTACCTAAATACAAATACTTTTTTCTTGTCATACACGTGAAGAAGTCTGTTAATATTCAGCGAAAAAAATAGATACTTTTATTTGATCAATTACTGATGTTATCAAACGGATAGATTAATATTTTCACTTTGATTATGTAGGACGCGAAATTAAATGAACTCGGAGATATCTGAGCTCAATGTGTTTAATTGGTTTTAAAATGAGAGCAATGAGCTCGGTTGTAATATAATTATATTTTATTTCTATAAATGAGAGTTTTGAGCTCCGAAAGTAATTTATACTCTGAAAAGATATAAATGAGGTGGATTAATTGTATTTTTGTCGATAAAAAGAGAGAAATGAGCTCAATAATTAATTTAAAAAAATTAATTAATGAGTTTGTCAATAGCAAAGTATATTTAAGCAAAGTTTAGTTCAACGAGACATTACGATAGGACAGATGTAATTGAGATTGTACCGATGGAACATGAGTGCAGACTCATATAAGTATTTGGGCATAAAAACCTCATCAATTTATAGAAATTAAAGCAAAGACTTGACAATGGAAAATGGAAGAGTATGCTGTAGAAAATGTTCATTCAGTTCTATAGCCCATAAGGGGAAAAACGTCTAAAGAAAGTTGAATTAGCTTTAACAAAAGACTGAATATTAGAGAAAAACCATTGTAATCTCGCACTTTTCAGAGTATAAATCACTTTCTGAGCTTAAAACTCTCCTTTATAGAAATAAAATATAGTTATATTACAACCGAGCTCATTGCTCTCATTTTAAAGCCAATTAGACACACTGAGCTCAAATAGCTCTTTTTTCCGAGCTCATTTATTATTTTATCCGATTATGTATAGCTGATTTTTCACACGCTCTTTTTTAACGAAAACATTAATCAAATTCAATTTTGTAAATTAAGATTAAGAATACGGCAAAATACCAGCAATATCAGCCGACTGATTCTACGTCATACTAATGCCAGTGTACCAATCGGCGTTATAAGTCATACCGGTACCGGTTGCACCTCTGTCCAGGACTTGGCCACTCTCAGTTCACACAAATGATTTAACTATCCGGTCTCGAATACTGACGCTATATTCATCGTAGAACGAGTAGTAGTACTGCCAACCTTATTACAAGAGTATAACCTCTCGAGCATGTCGTTATGCCTGTTATTTAGCTGCTGAGTTAGTATAAAGAGATGAATTGTCAAACACGATTGGATGAAATTGGAAAGTCAATTTTTAACAAGTCTAGAAGTAAGACATTATGTCCTGTTTCACAATTCATCTGCTTATAGACAGGACAATTGACACGCCATTTCAATAACGAGCAAAGATTGTTGGTAAATAAAACAAAATGAATCATACTTACCAGAACAACAAATAATCTTAATGTATAATACTATCAAGATATACTGAATTGTCTGTTGCATGATCCTGATAATCTTCATAATCTTCACACTATGTGTGAATAACTGTCATTCATACAACATATCTAGAACAAGTTTATAAAACGGATTTTATATTATAACACAAGCGAAACAAACTTTTTTTGCTTTATTTCTCTTATTCATTAATCAATTAGTAAGAATCTATCTGTTCTGTTATTACATCTTTCATAAACAAGTAGAGAAAATTTTGTTTAAACTGTCTAAAAATTGAAAAAACAGTTGAATTTACTTGTCAACTACCAAACAAGATCGATTATTTTGTTCTAATCATAATGAAATGTCTGAATTTTCTTTTAATCAATCTACACTATTATCTTTCTACTGATGACAAAAATAAACTGTAAAAACAAAAAATAAACCAAAAAAAGAGACACATAAAGTTGGAAACTCTTTCAATGAAGAAGCGAAAGTTTAAAAAAACAGTTCATGAAAATACTGTACACGTATACGAACAAAAAAACATATCATTCTCACTTGCTTCTGTCTTTCATCGTCGTACACTCATAAATTAATATGTTCAACGGTAAAATTAGATATGTAAATATATACTCTGTACGAGTGAACATACGATGAAATGACCACCAACACACAAACTTTGAGTCGAATAAAAATAATAGTACGGACAAAAACAACAAAGGAAAGCGAGAAGAAGAAATGAAAAAATAAGTATTCTCTCTTCAATGTTATTTAGTTATAAAATTGAGAATTGAACCAAAAGACAAGGATTTTTTTTTTTTTTCTACTATTTTATACCCAATAGATATGATGATATCAAGAGAAATAGTTGAAAACTGTCAAAAAGACAATGAGGATAAATGTTTTAGAAGTATAGAAAGGATTATGAGTAGAAGAACACATAATCACACATAGTATGTTTAATAATTATTTTAATTGTGAATAAGCTTAACCAGCTGTTCTTTTTATTCATCTTGTATACAAGTCGATTGACCATATGGAGAAAGAGTTTAAATTTATTTATTTTTTTCCTTTTTTCTTATCATCATTTTTTGTACGTATTAGTTTTTTTTTCATTTTCATGTTAAAAGTTTTTATCATAATTGTAATTGTTTAATAAAAAAAAAATTCAATTTTACCCAATGTTATGTAAGATAAGAATGAGGAAAAGAAAACGCGTGACAAAGAAGGTGCATCATTAACAATTGTACACAATTTTCAAATGGATAATTTAGAAAAAAAAAAAAAATCTATTGACAAGGACAAAATGCCACCTTTTTATAGTGGCCAAAGTACTATGTTGGATAATATATAGGAAAATTTAGTTTTGTCGATACCATGATGATCTGAATAAAAAGAAAACTATTTATTATATGCATCAATGGTAAATTTAACAATCTATTATTATCGATATACACAATTAAAAACGACGACGACAGTTGAAGTGATAAAAAAAAATTTCTATTACCTTTTCACGCGCTAATGATTAACACTGTGAAAAATGTGTGAGAACTCTATTCTTTTTGTAGAGTAGAAGGCGTGAAGCCTCGTCTATATGTTAAAGATTTAACTCATTGAGCTTTTGCAATGTTTATTTAAACAATCCTCTCTTTAACATAACCCTATAATAGTATTGAAAATGAATATAACGATTAAGAATATATAATTTTATCTTCATTCTAATTATCATTTACAATTAGAAACTTTTTATACATGTAGGAAGTCAAATATTGTTCAATAAATTGAAAATATTCTCTATTCAAAATGTATTAATCCTAAAAACAATAGTTTTAATCTGTACAGTAACACAATATATGTACAGGAAAAAAAAGGAAACAGTCGAATAAAATTAAAAAAAATTGACATAACATCTATAAAACTCAATTTTTTCATGTCTAACGTTCAAATGAGTCAATTATTTTAAAATACGTTCTTATGAGTAAAAAATTTTTAACGGTGTCATGCAGAAGTTAAATTTATTTCAGATTTGAAATTAAGTCACTTTTCAAATATAATTGTGCGTGTTCAGAAATATGTATGTACGTGTATAGATAGATATTTATGTCTATCTATATGCATGCGTATTAGACTATTTTGGATTTAGGGAATGTGAAACAGAGAAATTTTTAGAATATATGCAACTTTTTTCTAGATATTTCTAACCGTGCATTTCAATCATCATCACGCTCTGATGTTTATTCAGTTTAAATCAAACATATAAACAAAACGTATCGAAATATGGTAAAATTTATAATCCTCAAACACCACCAGTGTACATTATAAATTGAGTATAAATATATAACTTTTAAATAGTTCGACTTCGATACTTTTTTTATTCTCTCCATAAATTATCAACAAAAGATTACTAATATTAGTTAAACGTTGGAATTTGCTAACATAGATCTCATTACTGGAATATAGCCGAAATAGATTTCATAGAGGGATACGCTACCTGTCGAAACTGTAACGATTGTCTGTTCACTGTGTTTTTTAAAGAAACCATTAACCTACTGATTATGAAACTGTTTCTATACATACATTTGACTAATGTACTCTTTCTAAGCGAATTAATAGTCCTTGATAGTGTTTAGTTGTTTAAAAATGTCGAAAGCATCGTCGATTTGGAGCGGGTAAAAAAAATAAATCCTTTCATTTGCCCCAAATGTTCTGTTTTGCTTTTTGGCTACTGAAAAATTCTAATTTTTCAACTCAACAGAAAATCGCATAACATGAAGGGTTGTTCAGGATAAAATCTATCTAATTTTTGAAGATAAAACTTTTTACAGTAAGAAATTGTTAATAAATTAACAGTGTGTGTATTGAGTTTTCAGCTCGGAAAGCGTCAATATGGCCAAGGAAAATTTATAGGAATAGTTAATTTAAAAGATGAAATATCTTTGCAACTATATAGGTTCATAAAACGAAGTTTAAAATGAACGTTATCTGAAAAGTAGTGATTATTGTCAAATAAGACATATGTATGTAAACACGTGAAACATGACGTACACAGCAGGGCGCCGTATGGTCCGGTCTGATCCCAATTTTTGGGACCAGGATCACTTCGGACCACGAAAATTTTTTTCCTCCTTTTTGAAGATCCGTTTCTATTGTGTAACAAAAAACTGTTTATTTTCAATTTTTATCAAATCTGAAAACAAATTGTTTCTTAATTAAATGTTCAGCAAAGTTTATCTAGTCGATAAACAAAAAATAAAGAGATCTCTAAAAAAATTTTCAACCAGTTAGTTAGTTCAATAATTCAGTTCGAACTATTAAACTTTTTAAAAACTGGGACCAGGTCGAACCAAATGGATTACGGTCCGGTCCGACTTGTCCTGGACCTGACTATATGAAGCGCTGGTGCACAGTTTAAGTCTATAAATTTTATTCAGAGTTTTTTTACAAGTACTTGCTGTTCCTATGTCCTATAGTATGATGGGATTGGTATTGATGAACTGAATCTGAGTTCGGTAGGTCACTAAGACAGATATACTAATATAGAATAATATTAGTATATCGAAGAAGAAAGAAACTAGTACAAAAGAATAGCGAGTATCTGTATATTAAAGACTAGTTGAAAAAGGGTTTTCGTATTAATGAAACAGAGCGTGAGAATTTGAAAAGTCTAAGCGTTTTAACGCGTTAATAAGCTTGATTTATACTTTCATTCAGAAACCACCCATATATTCTGCGGTTCTCAGCGAAGTTAGTCTCTCGTGAAGTTTGAGCCAACAACGGTGTAGTAATAGTACATTATAACAACAGGACCCATCAGATACAACTGTGCAATAAACTAAAAGTTCAAAAGCTTTTTGATTCGTGCAATTGTAACGTTTCAATTGTTATTAAGGCGACAGAATCCGGAGCCTTATTGATTTTCTCTTTCTCATTGTTAGGTTACTTTCCTCATGCGTTCTTTATTTTTATTATGTTACGATCCAATAGCTTCCGTAAAGACTAGAGGTCACAAAACAAACGGTATCGGATCGATCACACTTGTAGCCAATACATCTCACCGACTTGTCTGGAATATCCTCTTGAGCCAGAGATGCAAGCGGACCGAGTGTCCGTTCCAGGTCCGATCCGGTCAAAATTTATCAACCGGCCGATTCGACCAGTTCCGGGCAAACTGCTGAACCGGGCCCGGTCGGCCTGGCTTATAACTGGAAAATATGACAGAAAAAAACATATTTAGTATTAATTTGTACTGCTCAAAGGAAGATAATAATCGCATTCATTATTCTCTGTTTGAAATATTCATATTTTTCCGATCTATACGTAATGCGTGAATGTATTGACTAATGTCTGTTATATAACTGTCTGTGATACGGTTTAATCCATTTTTATTGACTGTTTTATGACCTGTAAACGACTGAGAGAATACTGTGTATCACAAGCTCTGTTAGACTTCGAATTTCTATCTGTCAGTAGAGACGCATGCTGTATATCCCGATCGAGATAAACATCCCGTTTTGAATCAAAATATATTCCGATTAGGACATAGTCACAAGACATATAGTCCATAAGGACATAAAGCCGATTTTTTTAAATAAAATTCGTTAGCGAAAAACTCATGATGTTCGCAGAAAGTTTTGACAATAAGAGCGAAAACAACGTTAAAAACTGTGTCTGGCATTTTCTCTTACTCTGGACATGCATAAGGCAGCGAGATTCAGTGAAATATTCAGGTAAAGTCATGCTTGTCAATCGCGATTGGACGAATGAGCAGCGCATTGTAGCCGATGTTCAAATGTTCCATAACCAGAGAGTCTGTTAGGAAATGTTTCATTTGTCTGAAGATGAATCTGGCAAACTTTGCAATATCGTCTAGTTCAGTCCAGACTACCAAACGAGTCAGAAATTTTGAAAAAAAAGAAAGATCAAATTAAAAATCCATTGCCTTTAAGGAGCTCAAAAATACTCCTCCCCTCATTCAGTAGAGAACCACGATTTATATCCCGTTTTGTGTTCATTTATATGCCGATCGGGATATCGCCAAAAACCATATAGCCCGATCGGGATATAAAACACTATTTTTTCCAGTAAAGTTCGTTAGCAGAAAAAACTCGACTTTGTCGGAAAGTTTAGACTTCGCCATTAGACAGAGGGTCAAAACTGCATCACAATCTGTTTTCTTGGTAATTCAATGTGTTTTCCTGTAAGCAACTTGTTTTCGATAAAAGCTAATGGTAATTGCAAACTGAATTTTATGAGCGGATTGGGAATTACAATCTCGTGCGTTTTATATCCCAATCATGAGATATAAAACGCACGAGATTTTATGTCTGCAAAAACATAAAATGATCTATCAAATCTTTTTTCCGAAGATACATTAGTTTTTGGCGGTTCTAACTACGGCTCTGCCTGAGGAAACTATATCTCGATTGGGCTATAATAACCCGATCGGGATATATTTTTATGTCCCAATTGGGATAGAGTAGACTGGGGTAATTATAACCAGGCACAAACTTTTTCCTATAGGTTATAAGTACCCCGACAGAGTACGTTGACTGGTTATGATTACCCCAAATGGGGTAATTATAATCATTTTAAGAGTAACGCACTGGAAATTGACTGGCACTAATTAACGGTAATGAATTTGCATACAATTTTTACATCAGTATATAGTTGAAAGTCATATGTATCTATCTGTGTAGTCACCATTTTTCTCCAACCCAAAATGGCTTAACCATTCGTAAAATACTGAGAAAAAGTTTGTTCCTAGTTATAATTACCCCAGTCTACTCTATATAGCTCAATCGGGATATACATCTCGATTGGGATATGCTTCCACACTGTCACTGATCTCTGCCACATAAAATGAAGGAAAACCCGCCTTTTTAATTAACATCTCACGACATTTGTATGTACTTTGAGCCCATTTAGCCGAATCTTTTTTAAATATTGCCTTTATAGGACCTGTATGAAGTTGTTTATTTGATGACATGAAGTTTCTTTTCAGGATAATAATAATTATTTTTTTTTATTACTTAATAATAAGAAAAGCTGCATTGAATAAACTTTTACTATCGAAATGAGTGTCTCTATCGTTATGCTTCGGTCCTTATAATTTTCTCTTCTTCCTTCCATATTTTAGGAGAACAAAGAATTATAACATACTGTACAGTCATAACACATACTAATCCCATACATAACAGAACAAAACACAGCTGGGCTTCGTTTTTAACTTAAAAAACGTAAAAAATCATAGATCCCAATCGGGATATTAAAAAGTCGTATATCCCGATCGGGCTATAGAATTATAGCCCGATCGGAATATGTTTCTACACTGTCTATTAATGTGAATGATGCAGTTGAAAATTTCAAATTGTACCACTGATGAGGAGATAGTAGGCTTTCAAATTTCTTTCGGCGTGGTCTGAACAAATAAAATGTACGCTATTTTTCGCTTCTGATCTCTTAATTTCAGAACCAAATCCACATTTTTATTCGTTTAACCATCAAACATCATTTCGTTGATCTTGTTTTCGTTCTTTTCTCTCTTCATGCATCGTCACTTCCTGATGTTTCCAGTTGATGTTAAGCTCTCTATAACTCTTTCAAGTACCTATAGACGATGCCAAATCAATCTCACTCTGTCGGCTTTTAAACTTCACGTAGTGTAGTTGATGTTCTACTTACCAGTAGAATTTTTCTGAAAAACGAAATAACTATTGTGTTGGAAGGCATGATATAGTATTATATAACGCGTTCGCTCAGTATTCTGTTCCGAAAAATATTTCACTGATCATTAGTGAATATCCTCAATATCTAGCTTAAGATAGCCTAGATAGTACATGTTTTGGTTAGGCTATCTTGAACAAATAATAAAAAGAATTGCTAGAGCGTAAAAGAAAAAAGAAGAATGTGTTAGTGAAGATTTAATGCCTCCCATATTAACAAATGACTTTTGAATGTAAAATGTAATTTCGAAAAGTATGTGAGAAGATGTAGAATTTTTCAGTGACTCCTTTGATGTTTTCAAAATCCTTATGAAATCTGTTTTTGGATCAAGATAAATATTTTTCTATTTTCAGTGTGTCGTAGTTCGAGAACTCAGCATCCTGCAATATTTTGTCTCTCCTACAAACTGTAAAGAATTTGACAGCCTAGGTGCCACAAACAGATATACGTATCCGTACCTGTTTAGAATCTGTCGTTGTTGGCTGATAGCGTCACAGACTTAACATCGAATCCTCACTTTGAAATATTTGAGTCATATCTGCACTTCTAGAACCAACAAAGTAATCAAATTCATGCATGCGTTTGTAGTTTGCACATCGATCATCGCGAGATAGGTTTTTCAGAGTAGTACAGCCCTACAGAAATGAAGACTAGAACTTCCTTTTTGTTTTTACCTCTACAGAAGTCTCTTTGGACTGATTTTGTTTTCTTTACTCCGAGAACATTTCGTGCTTTGATAGAAGCCTCTCGAAAACAAACTCTACGTATCAATGTATTCATCAGTGGTACTCATCTTATTGGCTTGTATTATATTGAGAAAATGGAAAAAGCAATCAATACTCATTAAAAAATTACATGACAACTCAGTTTCGGTAGTCCGGATAAGTAGAATGATCTTGATCATGGTCAAGTTCACGCATAGCAGCAGCAAATTCCAGAGTACCGATTGACGCCTGAGTGAAATTCTTAGCTATATCCATGCTTAGCTTGACGAGTCGATCCTCCGGTATTAGTAAATCGCCCTTGTTAAAGGCCATAGAGCATGCATGCGATTGCATTTCTGCAGCGGCGCATAGCGTGTACGCATGGTAGTACGCAGCACCAACAGATGGTCCACAAGTGAGCAAGCCATGGTTACGCAAAATCATAACGTCCTTGTCTCCCAAATCGCGTACGAGCCGTTCTTGCTCATCTTGCGAGACAACAATGCCCTCGTAGTCGTGGTAGGCAATCTCTCCAGTCACATGTGTAGTCTGTGCCAATTCGATCACTCCACTTTTCGTTGCCGAGAGCCCGGCTACAGCCCAGTTATGATTGTGGTTCACACATTGAACGTCCGAACGAGCACGATGAATGCAGGAATGGATCACGAGGCCGGCTTTGTTCACTCCCATGATGTCACCCACAACACCCGGATGAATCATATTTCCATCGAAATCGATTTTAACTAGTGATGATGCTGTAATTTCACGGTAGTTCAGGCCTAAAGGATTGATTAATAAGTGATGTTCGCCATTTGAACCAGTCACGTTACAAGTAATATGATTATAGATGGATTCTAACCACCCATTTTTCGCAGCTAGTCGATAAGCGGCAGCCAATTCGATTCTTGCTTTCTGTTCATCAATACTGAATTCATGCAGGATGGAACGACTTAAACGTTCACGTAGGTATTGGCGAGAATATTTGTAGGAGCCAGGTACGTAGGTCTTGGGATTGAATACATTTTGAAGATCTTCCTCTGTAGCTCGTGGTTGTGTGATTTCTTTCTTATCTTTATCACGTGGTGCCACTCCATTTGCGTTCTTGTGCAAGCTATCATCAGAGGGAGAAGCCGAGCCGTTCTGGACAATACGCGTTTCAGAAGACATGTTGAAATAGGATCAACAATTATAGTTTAATATAATATATAAGATCGAGAAAGTAATGTTTGTCAGATAACAGATTGCGTCTCTCTCGTCTGCGCGTGACTCACCTCCAGCAGAGGAGAAAAGAAACAAACCGATCCCTCGCGTGGTGGAAGGATAGAGAAAAAGAAAAAACATATGCGTTGTCTCACTTGCAACAAAAAGCAACCACCATACTTTGTCTCATTCTACACTAATTTTACCCTTTTTTCTATCTCATACATTAGAACGCTAGCGTATTTGTCTTTATCTTTATCTCGCATATGTTACGGACAAAACTGGAATTCGGTCAAATCTGAGATTTGCCCGGTCAAAACTAGAATTCCAGTTTTGCCCGTAACATATATACTCTTACGCAGCAACAAGAGAAACATTGCTCTCCTCGTGTATATATGACACATATAGATAAAGAGGATATCGAATGTCTCCTAATGTTACATTCAGATATGGGTATGTGGCATAAAGAAAAAGAAGACTTACACGCTAGAATTCTAATAAAAGTAGCGCTCGTCTATCGAAAGACTCGCTTTGCTTCTTCTCATACGGAATGCTCCTAGGTATAGACGTAAAGCCTCACAAGGCCGCACATTATCCAAAGAGTGAGTTGCAGTCTAATCATGTAGAAATTTTAAAACAAGCCGTACTGTTGAAACAATTTTCTTCTCATAAATCTTAAAAATCCTTATTATAAGGGCTTTCGAGCGAGCGGCACGTGCAAGTGGTTCGCTCTTTGCCAACGTATGTAGGAATTTCGCGTAATTAATACTCTCTTATTCCTCTACTGTCACTAGCCAGTTACGCATAAGATTACCAGCTATAACTTTGTACATATCCGAATGTAACAAATCATAACACGATTACTCTGTCCTGTTTGTGTTGTGACAGCGATATCACGTATTGTTGTTAACACTCGGAAGAACGAGCCGAAAACTGCCGATCCTACACCGAACAGCTCGAGCACTCAAAGTTACACGATTTCGACAGAACAGAGTAAAAATGTTCGCTTTAATCTTTTGGTTAAACAGAAAATAGATTTTTAGCGACAACTCAGACTCGTATTTTGCTAGTTTCATAGCGGAGTTTTATCAACTTTTCCTCTCTGAGATAGAGAACCTTTGAATGAAACTGGTACAAGAGTATAAAGTTATTCCGTTTCAAGTTGAATCACTATTACGTAAATTACATTATTTATGAAACAATGCGTTCAGTCTCTATAAGAGTGTAGGATACTATCGGAGCCAGCTAGTAGCCGCAGTCCTGAATGCATAGGCGTAGTTTGATGATAGCTCAAGGTCCAGCTATCGAAATAATCGTGACTAATCTATTCGCTTTTCCCTAAATGTCAAAGTCGAATAATGAGTTATATCATCAATGCTGTGCATTAACATCGCTTTCGTCTGTCGACCTTCAATAGAGTATTCGCACGTGATCCGCGGAGAACTTGTTAGAAATTTCGAGTGTGTTACCCACCCCCTCATTCCTTGATAGTTTTCTAATTTGGGAATTTCGAAATGAACACCATGGCTCCTCTCTTTATCCTTTGACAAAGTTATAGTGTGTTCGTTACATCGCGTGAGTCATCCGCAAAGAAGAGACAGAAGTTGATTCACGCTTACACTTTCCGTTCGCTCTTTTTCGCGGAAAGGACTATGTGTTTGGAGAGTTTCCACCTTCTCCTTCAAAGCTGTGGCTTCCGCATCAAGCCAGATCAAGGAAAACGTTTTTGGCTACAAAGAGATCTTATTGAGCACTCACTTTGGTAAAAGTTTTAGGTTTCTAGACAGTTGTCCTCGCTCAGGAGAGACTCACCGATTCAGAGATTTTGACCAAAACTCGAATTTTGAGTTGTGGCCCTCTCGACCCTAACCGAGTCTACGGAGGTCAGGTTAAGTGGCCCTTGTAGTACAAATGGGATGTCAATGAATCGGATCAGGAGAGCCCTGGATCCGAAGCCCAAAACGAGGTGGGTTCGCGACGCATAAAGCAGTAGATATTTTAGCGAAAGATGGTAAGATGAAAGAGAACGCGGCATCTTTGATGTCCATAGATATGTGGAGCGTGTTCACAATCAATAATACATCAAAACGGAAAGAAAAGATTTACCAAATTTTTGAGTAATTATTTTTTTGATTTTTGTGTACTTAGAAAAGTATGGAAGGCGGAAGGAATGATGAAATGAATAAAAATGAATGGGAAACGATGTTGCTTGATTAAATAATAAAAAGAACGTTTTTTTCTAATATTTTTTTATTATTTTTAATGTAAAATTCAAACATTCAACATTTTGATAAATTTCCTTCTCTCCTTGAACGTATATAGTTACAATAACAGAGCTTGTCTCATGCTAAAGAGGACCAAACAACATTGTTTTTTTTCTGAAAAACGAAATAACTATTGTGTTGGAACGCATGTATTTAATGCCTCCCATATTAACAAATGACTTTTGAATGTTTCAAATAGACTTTCGTGTTTCATATAGACTTTTTGGTCTCGTCCAAAGCAAACAAAGGGTATGTATTTTTTTGATCACCAAATTTCTTTCTATCGAAATGATCACCAAAAAATAATACTTTTGATCACCAAACCAATTAAAGAAAATAGATATAAGAAGAATATATAGCAGTTAATTAGCAATGATTACCAGTTAGTGAGTAGACAGGCAAGAAAAAGAATATAAAGAAAGTTTAATTTATTAATATACAACTGAACACGAAGAAATATTATATATACAAATAAATATATTAATGTTATATTTTTGTAGCCAGCCATAAACTGCAAGTCTGACCTTAAGTTGACTTTGCTGGTATGCACTAAGAACTTCAATTTTTTGCGTTTCACTGCTATAATATTGTCGAATGGCTCATTCTCACCACCCTGCCACCACCTCTGTTGTTCAAGTTTTTGCACTCTTCTGGGGGATTTTTTTTAAAAAGTTTTCGAAAAATTCGAACTTTTTACTCTTGTTTCCGAAAATAAACATTTGAAATCTATCATTTTTCATGCTTAATTGCAAGATTGTTGTTTTTGGTTCAAAAAATATAATGTTAACGATGAAATTTCTAAAAACTTCTTCAACCGTTGACATTTAACTTCTGCTCTGCTCATATTTCTTCTTGTATATATGCTTTCTTTATATTCTTTTTCTTGCCTGTCTTACCTGCGTATTTTGGATTTGAAGATTTCGGAGAGAATAAAAACGGTTGTAAAGAATGTACAGTGTGTTTAAGAAGTATTCGAACACTGTAAGAAGCTTCTCTTGCAAGCTTATTATCTCTTTTTAATAAGCTCGCAAGAGAAGCTTCTTACAGTGTTCGAATACTTCTTAAACACACTGTATGTCCCGTGAAGTAAAAGGCTCATTACACGACGAGTTTTTTCTAATACATTTTGTGAATTCTATTATATTCAGCTGATGTTTTTCTACTTATGTAATTGAATTCCTCCAATACATGTGTTACCTTCCTAAAAGTCTCAAGACTTTTGTCTGTGTAACGACTGAGCCAGATAAAACTGGCCACTTTTATTCGTTGTTTTTCAAGCATTTTATAGTAGTCCAAAGAGCTCTTTCTAGACTCAATCGATAGAGAATTGAATTTTCTACAAAAAAACTGCTATTTGAATCTCAACAGGTAATTGTAATAATTGTAATAATTTGTAAATAATTAGTTCTCAACAGGCTTTTCAATTTTTTCAAATTAAATTAATTTTCTTAACTAATAATTTCAATTGAGAAACTTTATTTATATATCAAATAATGCAGGATTTAATTCTGTGTAAGATATTAAGACGAAAACCCTGAATTTAGAACATTTTACTGAGTTTATAGTAAAAATACTAGAGTCTCTGAAAAGTAGATTTAAAAGTTAGATTTTATTAAACTTATCAGCTTTTTGCACAGAGAAATTTTCCTAAAACCCTTCACTGTAAAATTTCGAAAAGTATGTGAGAAAATGTAGAATTTTCCGGTGACTCCTTTGATGTTTTCAAAATCCTTATGAAATCTGTTTCTGGATCAAGATAAATATTTTTCTATTTTCAGTGTGTCGTAGTTCGAGAACTCAGCATCCTGTAATATTTTGAATGATGCTCATACGACAAAAATGCTATCAGAGATTCAAATAGCAGTTTTTTTGTAGAGAATTCAATTCTCTATCGATTAAGTCTAGAAAGAACTCTTTGGACTACTGTAAAATGCTTGAAAAACAACGAATAAAATTGATCGATTTTATCTGACTCACTCGTTATGTTAACTGCGATGTGTAACGTTTACATGATACGTCTGGTAAAAATACTACGTTTTTTTATTTATAGAGAAAATACATCACATTTATTAACGAAAAACTTAAAAAATATAAATTATGAGGCAGTTTCTACGTCCATCGGTGTAGCGTTTTCTATTTTATTTAGAAGACTGGAAATAACCGCTTCAATTCCATTTTTCTGAAATTCATCTTGCAATGGTTCAAGATTCTTGTCGAATGATTCGGATGCACCTGTTGATAACAAGCCTAATAAATTATCAATTTTAGTCAAATCCGGGCGCTCACGATTGAATTTGAACTAAACAAATGGGGAAAAACAATATGCCATAATTACTCTTTTTGCTATGATAAATAGTTTACCTGCAATACATCTGGAACATTGTCACGAATGAATTCATCGTACATTTGACCTTGTGCATGTTGATGAGACAAAAATGAGATGAACACTAATTTAGCTGGATAAACCTCAGCTCGATATTTCATGAACAACGGATGAAATCTAAAAAACAAAAGAAACAGTGAGTGTCGATTCAACTATCTTCATTTATAGCAAAGTTGGACTTACCTCATTTGTGTACCATCACGGATTGTACCATTGGCATTCTCTTCCTCATCAGTGACAATAATAAATGTTTTAATAACTTCTTTGGCATCGTAATAAGGAACTAAACTAGCTGCTGGCGCAGTTGAGTTATCTGCCTTGGTCGCAATGGCTAACGATAAAACATCCTCTATTGTTTTAGGAATAAATTCTGGTAGGAAATTTTTGTCATTAAAAAATGTCAGTTTTGCAGTACAAATTGCAGTGAGTAAACTGCTTAAAATTGTCGCTGTTCTAATCGCAACTTCCATCGATCCGCTGGCATCAGCTAAAACTGCGACTGGTGATTCGAGCGGTAATCTGACAATTATATGAAAAAGGATTTTAGAACTGTGCCAATATTTTGTGAGAAGACAACTTACTTTATTTTTGCTAATTGTTCTTCAGCCATTGGTAACAAATCGGTATAAAATTTCGCTTTGTCCAATTGTTGCTGCTGATTTCTGGTCGTTCGTCTGCGTTCTGATGGATTTATACCTTCGCGAATCAATCTCACCAATAATAATCGTTCCATCAATTTTCCATACGGTAATGTTACTTTTTCATTCTGTTGCAATCTTTCACTAATTACATCATCAACTGCATCACATCGTAAATCTTCATAATACCACAAAATTGTATCTAATTTTTCTTCTTTCAATGCTATTTTTGCTTTTGAATCTTCGGTTAAATGTTCTTTGAATTGTTTCAGATGTGAATAAGGTATACTGAATTCTTTTAATAGCGTATTCACATTTTCAGCTGTTAAATTTCGACACTGAGCAACCATAGTTTCAGGTGGAGCAGCAGTGCCAAAACAAAAGGGTAAAAACCACGGCAAAGCAGGGAAATCCTAAAATTTTAATAAAAAAATGTTTTTCATACATCATATACATAGATCGGTTAAGGTTAAAGATATACCTTTGTCGGATTAAAATGAACAATATCAGCCAATTTTTTCCACGGTTCAATTGGCATATGTAAAGCGAAGTATTCTAATTCTGCGGCTGTCAGTGTACGTGCCCAACGTTGAATATGACGTGCAACAGCGCCACTAGCACTACCAGACAGTGGTTTTAATTTACTTAAATTATCAATGTTATTCTTAATTTTTCCTAGTTTAGTCACTTTTGGTTTTGTTTTTGATAATTCGAGACGTTTTAATTGTTTTTCATGAACACGTATTTGACGAGCGGCATCCAGCATATTTACAGCTTTCAGTACCTGAAACGCATACACTTGTAGTAGTTAAATAGGTGTAAAATTATTTTAGAATACATACTTCTGTTAGTGTAAATAATCGCCGATGTCTCAATAGATTATTTGCCAATTTATGATCGTGTCTACACCAGGCAGCGGCTAGAGCACATGCCTTTGATTTTTGTAAAACCTCGACACTATTGATGTCAAGGGCAAATAACGCAGCCAGGTAACGAGAAAGATTTTTGTTTTGTGCTTCTATGTGATGATCTATCGTAACGCCAGAATTTGTGAAGTATGGTTTTGGATCAATATCAATGTTCAAATTTAATTCAAGGTCAGCCTGTTTTGCTGCGTTTGGCGAGGTTGATCTTGGCTGTCTGTTGGCTGTTGAACGGCGAAATCTACCACGTCCTCTTGCAGCCCCACGCCCTATACGTGCAGTACCCCTTCCACGACCACGTCCTCGTGAACCACCACGTCCTCGTGAACCACCACGACCTCTTGAACCACCACGACCTCTTACCACTAAAAAGCGACATTGTGATTAGTTACATTGTTATACCAGAATGAAATATTTACTTTGTAATGTTGGCTCAGTAATGAATATTGACTGAGTGTCAAATCTGAAAACAAAAATAAGTATCACAATCAAAGCTCAAAAAGATAATAAAAAATGCTCGATCGTATGTTCTTTGAAAAACAAAAATTTAGCAACAAATGAATAAATATTAGGAAATATCTCTTCAATTTATAGTCATTCTTGCTCAATCTTTTTGTAATATCATAATGTTATTTTATTTCAGAAAGAACTGTACTCTCTGTTGTTTTTTATTTTTATTTTTTTTCTTCCTATCTAGTAAAAAGTAGAGAAAAGAAACAATCTTTGAAATGACTGTCACGTCGTTTATTTTACAAATGACTTTGCAAACGACGATGTGTGCAAGAAAAATGCACATTGCCTCACCTGTTTGTTATTGCACATTTTGCGATAGTTTTACAGAAGTTACTGTCATATGATGCAAGTACAGCAAAGAACAATTGTCAAAAATCCTAATTATATATCGAGAATGTGCGTGTTGATATCATGAGTCAAAACAAGAGCTCTTCTATTTCAAAATGATTCCATGAGAATTGTTTGTTAGATTTCAACAAGACAAGGCCATATTTATCAGAATGATGATGAGATATAAAAGTTTTACCTTATCAATGAAAGTATGAAATAATGATGAAATATTTCTCGTGGTCATTGCTTCATTCATTTATTTCCCAAAAGCACTTCTGTGATCAGTCTGAGAAAGGAGCAATATAAATGTCAATAAATCAGATGTGTCACTTGCTGGATTACTGTAAAATAGAATAGTATTGATTAATTAAGATCAATTCATAAAAACTTTGTCGTGTTTCTGGTATTATTACGAAGAAAAAATAGTATTTCACATATACATAGATCTTTCTTTGTCTTGTAGTTTATTTATTCGATCCAAACATTTCGATGTTTTATACACCTTCAGTGGATAAATAATTAAGAAAACACAAAACTGGGCGATGAGAAATATAAAGCTAAAATTTACAACATCTAAAATCGTAAAACAGGATGTTAATAAGAATCACTACTTTTCCTTTCTCTCTCGGTCTTAAGCTCGGTCGATTGCTCGTCCTGTGTATATTTATTCTGTTCTCTATCATAGACGACAGTCTCATCAAATGTGACTTTCATTCGTAGATATACTGTGTTTAGCTAATTCGGAATCTCCACAAACACCTTCTCTTAATGCTCGATCAACATACGACTGACGTTCACCTTCTCTTCTAACATAGTCATCCGTTTCTGCCGCATACAAGGCAGCACGCTCACACGGAATTCCATATACCTGATGGTACCGGTTGTTCCGCATTTTTTTCTCGCAATTAGTTTCGCTTTATTAATTATGGCAAATATATTTGGAGAATGTGGGGAAAACGTTTTAATATTAAATGTTTTTAATTTCGATTTTATTCTTTTGTTCACTCTTTGAAGGTGTGGAAGTACCACCATACCCTCGCTTGTACTCTCTTTAGGTTTTTCCTCATTTGGTGCATTTTGTATAACCAACGTTAAAAACGTATTTTGACCTTATTTTCCATAAGAACAACTGGATCAAAAAAATGATTGGCCGTTTTCTGATCAAGTACGCCTCTCCCCCCTCGTTTTAGTGTATAAGTAATTCTGTTACTTGTGAATAGAAATGATCACCGACGATTATTTCCGCCTATTAAAACCGTCTGACATCAACAGAACTCATAAATTAAGATCGATAGCGAAAGGAAAAGTATGATTCTTATCAATATCCTGTTTTACGTTTTTAGATATTGTGAATTTTAGCTTTATATTTCTTATCGCCCAATTTTGTATTTTCTTAATTATTTATCCACTGAAGGTGTATAAAACACCAAAATGTTTGGATTGAATAAATAAACTACGAGATAAAGTAAAAAAATAACTTCAGATATACAACAAACTCGTAAAACGGCTTACAAACATCTTTCTCTGTATAGTTTTTCTTCAGTATGATGTGAAAATTTTCCAGAATCCAATTGTGTTAATGAATTATCTACTGAACATTATGTTATTGCAAAACTAGTCTCAGGTTGAGTTATATAAAGTGTGAGAATGAATAATATTGTAAATGTATGATCAACAGTGGTGAATATCAGCTTGATACACTTTATGTTAGTGAAAAATACTATAGAATGGTATATTTTTCGTATGCTTTCAGTATCCGTTTAGTACAAATTGGCCAACTGATGAACCAAACATTTAAGGGTAGAAATGGTACAAAAAACACACGAGCAACCTTTCTCACCAAGTCTGGCTTCAACTGTTCTGTCATCTCTGTTTTAGTTCTGACACCAAATTAATTAATTTCATCAGAGTCTTGGCACTTGAAACGCATTTAGAACATAATTTGAACTGATAGTTTATTTTTACTTAGTTCATAGTCAAAAAACTTATCAGCACAGACCTTAGGGCTAAAGTGTAACTCCTCCATTCAAACGTGATGGACTAAGGTGGGGCTGCATGAAATCTATGCTCTGAGTGCGTACATTTAATTTTCATTTTTCGGACAATTTCTTCCTTTATAAACTTTCACTCCTTATTTCTTTCTCTATCAGAACAATTCGGAGGAGTTACACACAATAAATTCATTCAATCGGTGTTTGTCCACAAGAACCACATGTTTCTTCCTGACGAAATCAGTTTTTGTCCACAAGAACTTCATGTTTTTTGATGAAGGAATCGGTGTTTCTCCACAAGCACTCCATGTTTTGTCCGCATGAAATCAGTGCTTCTCCACAATCACTTCGTATTTTTTCATGTAGAAATCGATGTTTCTCCAAAAGCAGTTCATGTTTTTTCCGCGCCCGAAGGAGCGAGTAATAGAAGAGAAAGTTGTTTTCTTGTCACTGCGTAAAGACGAAATGATCTTATTTCGCGAAAAGTTTAAAGTTTGAAAGACTCGTCGGTAGGATGTTTTCGATGTTGTTTATATGCAAGATTTCGTTTTCTCATTAACTTTTTTTAGTTTCTTTTGATATAGCAACTTTAAACGAGGAAGTAAGGGAACTTGTTTACGTTTCGCAAATTTAGATAAGCACAAATTAACATGAGGCTCCCAAAGAGCAGCTGCTATATTAGGATTAGGCGAAGAATAGAAATCACTGGAAAGCTCAGATAGGGCACAATTTTGTTTCTCACCGACTTTTAGATATTCACGAGAGTTTGTGAATATCTAAAAGTCGGTTAAAATAACTGCGAATTAGTAATTTTTTGAGAAAGCAAGTACAGGGTTTTGGGGCGCTTTTTTAGATATTCACAAACTTTCAAAACTGTTTCCGTGATACTTTTGTTGGCTTCTCGATGCAATGTAAAAACCTGATTTAAACTTACTTGCATTGCACTTTAGTTATTTATATATTTTGAGACGTGATTTTTACGTTGAAGAGGAATTTCAAAATGTTTCTGTCATCGGTTTTAAAGTGAGGATGTATCAGGATTTCTGGATTAAATTCTTAGCCTCTATATTTCCGAGAGAGAGAGAAAGAGAGAACAAAGGAAAATAAAAATCTATTTTGCCTAAGAAGCGAGTATAACAAAAAACGGTTTTCGGTTATCGCACATGTTTCCCTTTTCTAGAATCTTCCAGAGAGATAGAGAGAATAGCATAGAACATTTTCGATCACGCTTTATGAAAATGTGAATAAGAATAGATTCGTCAACACGTGAAGAGTGAGAAATAAACGAAATCAGAGATTTTCTTATTTCTTCACTAAGGCTATGCATGAATGTTTCCCAAGTCTTAGACTGAAAAAAGTTCAAAATTCTTTTCTTGAGTTTATTGTGCAGTTTTATACTCCATTCAGTGCAGTTTTTCATGCTGATTCTGAATATGTATATTTTATGCAAAAGCTCTCCTCTCTTCCGAAAACACAGCAAGAACTGCTGCTGAAAAAGTTCAGAGCAGGCCTGAGGTTAGTCCATTGCTGTCCACTGTTAACTCAAGAGCTCAAGAGCTGCATACAAGTACCAATGAAAAAGATCTGGATCACTATGTAAAAAAATATATCATAAATAGACTGAAAAAAGTCAACAAGTCAGATCTTTCCACATCACTCTTTTTCAATGATATATCATACTGGAGTGAATTGAAAAAAAGAAAAAAAAACGGACTAGGGGATTACTTTCATCAAAAAAGGGTAAAAGAGATGATTAAGAAACATAAATCTCTTCTACTATCCATTTCAAAATAGAATGGCCGGTCAGTGTTGACCTTATAGCTCCGGAACGGTGATAGATAGAGAGGTGCGGTTTTCACCATTCGAAAGAGAAATATGGGGCTACGATACCCATGAAACA